CTGTGATGTACGATGTACCATGACTATTCCATGACTATTATGTACAATATACGATTAGATGGTATATTATACATTAAAAAATGTCAATCATTTTAAATTTTGAGTGGAGCGAGGGGTTACATTAGTGTATATTAAATAATACAACTGTATTTTTTTCATATTATTCTTGAATATTCAACTTCGAATGTGGTTTCTTGTAGAAAATGAAATCTAGTTGGTACTTTAGAGAGGGGGGGGGGTCAAAAGTTAAAAGTTTTTAGTATTTTAAAAAATAATCGAAACAAATTGAACCACTGTGGTTCAAAAATGTAGAACAATAAAAACTTGAAATTTTTACCAAATATTAATTATTATTAGCATTTTCTTAACGAAATATAAGTACCAAAATATTTTATATTTTTTTCTAAAAATAAATTTGAAGATTTAAACATTTTAAATTTTTCTTCGATTTATGTATGATAATTTTTTTTTTTTTGTATATAAAATAGGTTTAAATGTAATACAACGATTTTCATGATTTATTCTTACAGAAATTAAAAATAACAAAAATATAGTCAAATAATAAAGCGTTTGAGTTTAAATTTTGACTAAATTCATCATTATCACAAAGATTTGCAAATTATTTTATAGTTAAAAATTCATTGTGTTATTTATTTTAATTTTATTTGATAATGTAACAGAAGATGCCTCAACATTTTTGTTTTCATTGGAATTAAAAACATGTAGTTGAAGGCTCATATTATTTTTTTATGAGTTTGCTGTAATAAAAAAAAAAAATGTATTGACAATTTAAAACATTATACTATTACTTAAATAATTATAGTTTACTAAAAAAATATGTCTTTAAAATATTATATAGAAATTATTTTTAAGATATTTTTGTACATTTTGTTAAAAAATATTATGCTTAGTTAAAATGTTTTATGATTGTAAAGGTACAAGGATTTTCATAATTAATTAATTGTACTATTATATTTATACTTATATAAAAATATCAAAAATTTATCAGCACAATTTATTTTTCTAAGCAATTACAGTTAAAATTTTAATAACGTATTTTGTCAAAATTATAAAATTTGTTAATTATTTATCTACTATGAGTAAAACGGATTATCCATTTGGATACAAATAAAAATTTACACGCTATTAGACAGACATATAACAATAAACTCGTGTAATTATGGCTGTATACGAATTGCAACCCTGATACAAAAATTGCAATTTGTGACATACTAATTGCGTCTCGGGTTTTCTATACTACTATACTAATTGCATCCCGATAATATTTAAAAATTATTTGGTTCAATTACACGGACAACAAATAGCTATAAAGTTTTCCATTCAAAATTTAACGGAATGTTTTATTCTGCTCATTCAAATATCAACAATTTTATTGATATACTTAAAATCGTACAAAAATATACTTGCATAGAAATTTGCAATTGTATTCTAATAAAGAATATAAAACATCAAATATTTTAAAAACAATAATTGTTAAGAAAAGAAATTATTAAATACGACGTGAACGAAATAACATGTTTTGTTCGTTTTGATTTTGTCAAAACCGAATCGTTCAAGTTTTTTCCAAGCCATAAGCCCATAAATAATATTATAATAACATATATATCACTTGCACATTATAACTAATATTTTTTATTATTTTTTTTTTTTATTCTTTTATTTTTATATTTAACGATGAAAACAATACTTTTGATATACATAATTACGATACGATAAAAAATAATATTTTTAACCTAACTTAGCAAGATAATATTTATAATATTTATTTAATGTTGTAATTGAATCTTAAGTCTATATCAAATGGGAAAGAAAATAACGTATTTACTTTAGACATTAGTATAATTTTTAAATATTATCGGGAAGCAATTAGTGTAGTTGTTTAATATTATTGGGATGCAATTTGTATGAAAAAGTGATCTTGGGACACAATTCATTTTCACCGGTAATTATTTATTTTATTGGAGTATACATTATAGATAATATTAGGTATACAGTGCAATTTTATTCAATATAATTTAAAAAGTGAAGGGAAAATTTATATTAGCTATAAAAATACCAATACGTTTACTAGGTTATTCATTCAATACCTATATAATTTGTGGTGGATAGTAAAGTGAAAAAAAGTACAACATGCCTGACTAACCACCACTGGGGAACTTTGAAATGTACCATGTACAAGAGAGTAGGTAAATAGATTTTACATGAATACATGATAAGAGATTATTTAATAGCTTGAGATATTGTAATCAAAAACTTTAGACTTTACGATTAGAACATTTAGATAAGAAGTTTGTCATATTATGTTGATATTTTCATTTTTACAAAAATATCTAAAACACTAAGTTTTGTATAAATACTGCTTTTGTTTTTATAAACACATTTTAAAGCCCAAATTTGATTAAAATTTAATATTTAAGCAATGTATAAAAGTTTAATTTTACTTGAAACTTTTCACTTCCACGTATGTATTATTATTATTATTAATTATATAAAACATTATTTTCAATATATAAGTGTAATCACTATAACCTTCTGTACTAGAATTATAAATAGAAAAATGTATAAAATATCTTAAGAAATTTGAGACAGTTCGTCTACGCTTAAAATCGATTTTCATCTATAATGTCAATATATTATTGCATATAAGTTTAATATATGTATTGTAAATGACGAGGGAGGTACAAAATGAGTATTTTTTAAATGAATATCTACGCTGTGATTGTAATATAATATCTACATATTAACTACTATATTTTATTTAATGTTTATAACTAGGTAACAATTTTGACGGAATATTCAAGTAGGTAACTATAAATAATTACCACACAAATATTAAGAACATTAAAAAAAAAAAAAGATCAGAGTTTTACTACTATAGTGACTAATTAGTAATATTTAAATAAGCGTATTACTTTAATACTCAAAGATTTGTTACAAAATAAATCGAAAATAACATAAATATTATTTTACATAGTACGTTATTGCTCTCTAGTAGATGAATATATAACTACAACATGAAACTCGTTTAATTTTGCTTTTACATTACTAGGTTTCAGCATGTATAGGAGTATTAAAATACTTAATTTAGTGGTATAAAAATTTAATGTGATACATTTAAATACTAAGGCGGTCAACTGTGAACTTAAAATAGTAATTCCCGTAAAAAGTGATATTTAAGGTCGTTATAGTTTTTTTCTTTTTTTTTTTTTTTAGTTCATATTTAGAATAAATTATAGAACCAATATATAAAATATCGATACTTTTACAAATTGTAGAAGTTTTATTTGAAGAGTTTTTTAAAAATAATTTTCGAAATAAGAAAACTATTGGTTCTTCGCAGCAGTGATTTTATTGCGTCATTATCTTTAAAAACACATTTTTTGTTACTAAAAATCTTCAAAAGTTTCAACTTCAATTTCTTTTCACTGACATAATGTAATACCTACTTACTTTCCTCTTATTACATGAAAATGAACATAAATATATGAACTTTGTAAATTATATAATAAACAATTATAACTATGGAATAATTAATAACTTAACTAACAAATTAAATTTTAACCTCCAATAAAAAACAATTAGCTGTTTTAGTTATTATTGATGATTTTTAATACATTCATACTTTTTGGAAATAAATTATATTGCATATTTTACACATTATACATTTTTTTTTATCGTTCCTATTTATGCTATAAAGTTTGATTTAATATAGTTGTAGACCTGGAATACAAATTTTTAATAATTATAAAAACAAAAATAAATTAAGATATTATATTTTTTTACAAACAATATTCTCATAATTATTAACAGGGATGCTAAATTGGCAATAATTAATATGTGAAATATAAATATTTTATGTATTTTATATTTTACACATCATAGCATAGCAGTATAGTACCATGGATAAAGTAAACTGTTTTATCAACAATTATTTTTTACATATTCCCTTAACAAAATCATTTAAAAATAAAACAATTTAAATTCACTGTTATAACATAATTTTAAATCGTATAGAAGTTATAGCGCTAGTCTTAATATTTTGTAAAAAATAATATTTTATTTTTTTAAGGGAATTTTCAAGGAGAGGAAATTATTTTAATAATTTGTGTTCAAATTAAAAATACATATTGCAATTGAGTAAAAAATACTCAACGATATTTGTAATGACTGTATAAAATATAATACATTAAACATACAAGGTAAATGTAAATGATTTGATAAAAATACAAATATAATAAAATAAACAAATAAATTTATAAAAAAACATTATTTCATTGTTACAAAAAATTTACCAAGTACAAAATAAAATAAAAAAATTGATGAAATATTGTCTTTACAATGCATTACTTAACCGGTAATTAGATATTAAATCTTTGATTGTTATATTGTCTGTCGTAGAACAATATAAAAATATGATTAAATTAAATTATTATTATTTTTTTATTGTCCCAAACACAAATATTGTGTCTGTTAATATCAAACATCATACATTTAAATATTAAATATAGAGTGACATGTACTTAAAAATTGTAAGTATTACATTCAATTAGCTATTGACAGCCTCGCAAGTATAATTTAAACTTTGTAGTAGGAACCTAAACGTTCATTTAAATACTTATAAATATTAAATGTATTACTTGAGTACCTACATACTATGTATTCGTCATTTTATCAATTTTAAAATGCTCACTTAATTTCAACATATTAAACTCGTAATAAAAAAATAAAACAATAAATTAAGCTGTAGGTACCTACTATAATAATAATAAAAATTATTAATAAATAATCTTAACATTTTTCAAATATAACGTCATTGAAAGCATTATAATATAATCTTAGAGACTTAAAACATTATCAATGAATAATATAATATATAAGTATATCTACCAGTTTTTACATACACAAATATTGATAATTCAATATATTTTATAATTTTCCTATTTTTCTAGAAAGTATAATAATAGTAACAATTACTCGTATATAAATATTTCAATTTTCAAAGCTTCAATACAGTAGGTGTAAAATTTAATGAACCCACGTATTTGGATCCATTAAATGTAGTTGAAACTATAATTAAATACTCGCATTGTGGTTTTAATGAAAATAAATCAAAGTACGGCACCTAAAACAATATTAAACGACAATTAATAATTAAATATCTAACTAATTAATATTTTATAATATTGTATCTGAGTGTTAGAAAATATAATTAAAAATAAACTTACAGATATTGCATGCATTTAAATACGTATATAAAGTCATCATATATACTTTTACTAATTTTTATGACAATTATTTAGTTAATGGTAATTATACGTTTATAAAAATATGTCTTATTTATTATCATTATTAAAACAATTAATTCTTTATACATTACTTTAGATAATTTAAAAGTAGATGTATTATATGAAAATACATATTTAAGAATAATTAGTAACCTACATTTATATTAATATTTAATATTAATAGTGTCTAACTTAAAAAATAAATTACTTACCGGAGTTCTTACTCTTAATGGCTTACTCTCGTCTTTGCAATCTTTTGAAGACCATGATAATGTGTAGTGAAATTTCTTTAATGTCATAGTAACTGGTCTCCATGATAGTCTAGCATTAATTAAATTACGTTTGTCAGGATTTCCAATTACAACAATTTTAAGTCCTGCGATTTGTTTAGGATTTAATATTTTTTTTCCTAAAACAATAAATCAAAAAAAATTTATTTTTATTCTTTACTTATAATATCGTTTTTTAATTATCCTCTTAATTCGTATATATATATATTAATTATTTAGTTTAACTGCAGTCTAACCTCTACCTAATGATATGTATTAAGAACTTGATATAAATATAAAATATTCACTAAGAACTGAGAAATAAATTATATTGTATAAAACCATTAGTTCTTAATTTTTAGTTGGATTTAGACAAATTATAAAAAGCGTTTAAAAAATTATATATTTTATGAAAGTTCACAAGAAAAATGTCTACGAAGAATCTTGTAAGATCTAATAAAATGCATTTTTGTAAAAAACTATTGATGAGTATTCTTAAACAAAAATTTCTATAATTTCTATCAACAGTTGCACTCTTGAACTATTACTAAAATGTAGATACACAGGCAAAGTTTAAAATAAACTAAATTGTTATATTTAGTTACAATTAAATAAAAAAAAAAATATAGAAATTATTAAAAATATAGTTTGAGAAACAGCTAGTAAACTAAGGGTAATTGATTTTAATGAAACTAGGTAGTATTTTTGTTTTATAAGCCCATAAGTATGTTGTAATTAGTAATAACATAAGTTAAAGGTGAATTCAACGAAAAAAAAAACACATATTAAATGTCATCTTAATATTTTGATAGTCATCACTTTAATGTTATGGTGTTAAATGTATGTATTAACAAATGCGTAGGTACTTAAAAATAAAGTTTAGTTACGAGTTCTAGTGAATAATAAATTATATTTTAATAACAAAACTAATAATATAAAAAGTAACTATAAAGATTGATTGAAGTATTGAACAATAAAGAAATATTTATAATATTATACCAATAAACCTTAAATATTATACAAATACATTTCATTTGAATGTATAATATAGTTAAATAGGTACATTTATTACATTTTCATTCACCTTTGGTTTTCAGGGTTGTTGAAGCCTTTTGACCTGCGAATCTTTTTCTTCCGAATTCGCTAATGGCTTGCACTTGAAGAAAATATTCGGAATTTGAGTTCAGCTTTTTGATTGTAAACCTCAAAATATCCTAGCCAGAAGGGGAAAAAAAAGCATATAATAATGTTTTTCATATACAGATAAATGACGTCATCGTGCGACAAAATAATAGTTGCGAAACACCTATCTTGTTACGTGGTCCATTAGGATAAGTCGAGGGTAGTTCCATTGTTATATATTGTTAAATGTAATACTGTTCTATTTATAGTGGAAAAATAGTTCACAAGACCTCAGTACATTCATTTCATTCGAACGATGCATGTTGTCTTGGGCAGTATTCCGATTTGGACATTATACGTAAGTACTTAATTTTTTTTAAATTAAATTGATGCACATTGGTTATTTATATTTCATCACATTTATAATAAGATTTGAATAATAATTAAGCTTTAAGTAATAAAAATTAACAAGTAAGTAAATTATTTTAATATAAATAAGTCCCTTGTTTTAGAATTTAAATGATCTTAAATTTCCAAAATGTAATAGTTTTAAAACGTAATTTAAATATGTGCATTTTTGATAGGAAACATTATATTATATGAATTTCTTAAATTTAAAAATAAACTTAATATTATGTTATACTAGTCCAAATTCTAGATAAATGATACATTAAAAATATGTACTTGAATATTTTAATAAATATATATATATAATTTTCTGTGTATATTTTTTCTTTTCTTACTACAGGTATTATTAACAATTAATAATATTTATACTATTTTTCAAATGTTTAAATAAAATATCTACGTATAAATATATTATTTTAATTTATTTATTATGCGATTCTACAATAAATAAAATATTAAATGATACTACTTGTAAAACGTATCTTTATCATGCATATTTATTAATACAGATTAAATAATTTTTTTGCCATTAATTCAATGCTATTTCAACATCACTAATATAATCAATCCTCTATATTTTTAACACGGCTGGCAGTAAACGTATATTATGTTTTAATATTTTGAAAAAATTGTATTACACCTTTCCTATACGATAAATGTAATTAATCCTGGATTAAATTTTACATTGAAATTATCCTATATCAGCAATTAACAAACGAAAAAAAGAAAATTTCTATGGTACAAAAACCCGGTACCTATTTAAAATAAATGATAATTATATATTTTGATCAACTATTGTCTATAATATTAATAAATTGTGTTTTGAATAAACGTAGCAAGTAGCTGAATATTATACAATAACAGGAGTTTCCAAAAAGCTCCTTGTTCCTCAGTGAATAAACTTTATTATTTACAATTAAACGAACACACTAACATGAAAGAAATAAGTAACCATAATAGGTATAACTTTTTTCAGCCATTAATTTTTACATTTTATTTAAAGTATAACTAGGTACCTATCTAAAAAAGAGTACTACTCTTCCCGCTCATTTAATTTCTTAATTTATTCCTTACCTTAACATTGTACTGAAAATAAGTTCAATTGCTTATGTAATTTAAAAATAATTGAAATATAAAATATAAAAGTCAATGAAATAGATATTTTGATATTTATCAAGAGAAATTAACTCAGTATAATTTTTAAGAACTTTAATTAGTTTTATATATTAAAATGATTTTTTTTTATATAGTTTTTACTTAATCACATCATTCTAATCAAAAGTTTAATAACAAGCGAACGTATAAAAATTTTTATTTATTTTTCGTCTCTAGAATAAGATTTTTTTCCGTCTAATATTGAAGACTGGTAGAGCGTTATACTCGTATTAATATAACGTGTAGGATTGTATAATATAAGAAGGTAGATATTTGTGGGTGGTAGCATTTTATTAAGACCTATTACGATATAATGATCATATTTTTTGTAATACTTTGTCGTCAGGCATGCATCAAATTCAATACGGTGGAATATTTCCTAAATCTTTTATAATAGTTTCGCGAACCTTGTAATTTATAGAGTGCTGAAAAAAGTTTAAAAACAGAACTTATATTTAACCCACTTCAAACCTATTATAAACATTTTTTATTTAAGAACTTAATTTGTACATTCATATATCATCATATAAGTACGTTCTATATTGTTATATTATTTAATGAATTAGATTGAAATAATTGATAATCATGATAATAATAAACATTTTAATAAAAACAATAATAATTATTCTAATACAAAAACGAGATATAATAACTAATTGCATTGATATTTTAATTTTAGAAATTAAATATTATTAAAGTTGTTTGCGACGCATGATGTCTAGTGATCTAATAATTTTTTTTTTTAATTTACCCCGTGCAGTAATTAATTTATTAAATGATAATTATAAAAAATGTCTGCCTCATTTCAATTTGGTACCTAAAGAAATCTTTATTTATTGTTGTTGTATAAAACAATAATAGCTGTCGCCATAATTTTGTTTATTTTTTTACGCCGAAAACTACTTAATCTCTAGACTTTTAAAACTATCGACATTTTTATAACTATTATTCTAATACATTATTATTACGTGAATACAAATGTGCACTTCGTCCGAAAAATCTACCACTGTCAGTCACAAATGCACCCACCCCACCGTGGACACTATTTGCTTTTTTTCTTTTCTTGCCGGTCTTCAAATTTATAACATTCCCTGTATTTCCCGATATTTAGTGATTTGTTATTGCAATACCTGAAATACCGGCTGTCGTTATAAAATTTTCCATTTTACATTTATCTACATCTCATTCCTCCCCACGTTCGCATTTTCTGGCTTTTTTTAACCCTCATTTTTTTAAATTACCAACTATTCTTCCATTTTTGGTTTGAAATCTAATGAGTAATTTCTATTTCAACCATTTGGCGAATGACTCCCAGATAGTAAGATTTTTTCGGGTGTTTACCAAGTTCTGATTTATGTAATTCTTATCCCCCCCCCTCTTCGTCAAAATATTAACGCAACCATGTTTTTTTTGTCAGGCGTTGGTGTCATGCGTGTCAGTCTCATGTCTGTCGATGGCCCAAAAAGTGAGATGGGAACTGGTTTACGACCCGATGCTGAACGACGAATCATTCGATCGATTCGTCGCCGCCGACCACCACGCTACCGCCAAGATGATACAGCCACGAGACGATCAGCAGCGGCAGCGGGACGAGCAACAGCTATGGCGGCATAGGGATGAACAACAGAAACGACACCGCCACCGCCAGCTGCAGCAACAGAAGCGAGATGAGTGGCAACAGCGCCGCAGCAGCAGCAATAGCGATTCACGGTACGTCGATAGCGTGTCAGTGCCCGCGTCTGAGATTTGCAACTGCACGCAAAAGACAACGATCCACCGGCTGACCCAAAACCACTACCCCAAGGAACTCCTGTCGGTCACGTGCAGCGGAAACTGGTGCAAGACAGCCTCGTACCTAGTTCCGGTGTTGTTAAGATCGAGCACACAGTTAGCCGAAAACCAAGAAGAATTGCCGGATGAACTACAGCAGAACGTCAATCACTGGACGTTTGACTCCGTAAGGATTCCGGTCGCCTGTTATTGTTCAATTAAATAAACGATATTTTTGCCTTTGATCTATATTATACCTACATTATAATAGACCAAGACGTGTAATACGATATTTTCCCCGATTTGTTTTATCCTGCATCTCCCACCTCCTCCTACTAGTTCAACCTCAGTCCGGTGCTTTATCTACATTCTATAATATAGACAAAAGTGGACAAGTAAATGAAAATAATTGACTCAAGTAACAAGTCAAATGAATGCAAAATTTTTAAGTAAAAAGAAGTTAATGTTAACAAACAATACATTTTAATTGACTCAGTTTAAAAAAAGTTGTTTTACTTTTTTAGTGCGTAGATTGTGAAAAAATAGTAATGCATGTTATTTAAAATTTCTTAAATCATAATAAACAATTTTATTAAACTTTAATCATCGTTTTCGTTTATTGGATCATGAAATTCACTATAGCCCATAGTCATAGGTATGAATAATGTACGTATCATAATATTTTACGCAAAGTATTTTAAATAAATTATTTAAAGTACTTTAACGTGTGTTAATTTAATTTTCAAGATTTTTACCAATTTTTAAAATCTTGTCGGTAGTCGTACAAATCACTGGAAGTTCGACTTCATAAGAACCTCCGTAGATTGTTTTTTTTTTTTAATAAACAATTTTTGTTTGTTTGATTTTACCTATTAATACTATACCTATCTTTGTTATAATAGAACAAAATGTATAACACAATAATTACGTTATTTCGTTTTATCCTGCATCTCAAATGAAGTAAAACAAGGTGGTGGTTCTATACCTATACGTATATCTACATCGTTGTGCAGGGTTGAACCCTGTCGTGGGCAGATCCTCTCTCTGAGCAGAGTTAACTATATAATGGTATAAAGAAAGAAACCACGATTCCTTCCCCGCCCAAAAAGGTAGAAACGCCTATATGGGTGCCAAATAAAATATTCAGTTAAACTACAGACGATCAAGCAAGACTTTCAGGTGACATAATCCCACTAATAAAGTTCCATAGAAAAAAAAACTGAAAGTCGTGTCATATTTGATTCATCGATATTAATGAATACCTATATACAGTTACATTTGAGTAAATTTATAGTAAACAAAAATTGGGAAATAATAGTGACCGCTCTATTCAAAAATATAAGTATTGAATGTACCTCGTCATTGAATAGATCACTGTAATGAATGTGTTAAATTAGAATTCATCAATAAATCATTGTATACTAACAACGATTTTCATTGGAGATATTATTAAGTATATTTTATTATACATTTATATTGCTATTATAGTAATTTATTCGACTATTTTATATTACGGTATAAATAGGAAATCGTTGAAAGTTATTTTAAATGTTTTTGAAATACCATTTCGTATAGTGAAATACAATAATATACGTAAATATTTCAAATCCCCGTGTATACAAACCGGGTACTAACAATAATAGATAGTATGCTTTGCCCGGTCCGCGTAATTCTACGAACCAACATGTATTAAAAATGTGAGTATATGTGTGGATTTTGTAAGTTCACTTAGCAATGGATGGATTTGCTGGATTTAATGAACTATATATACATGGGCGTGTGTAAAACTATAAATGAAATAGAAATACTTAACAATTAAATAGATGGTAACAGTATTTTGTCGTATGTTGTTGTATAATATAATATATAGAATTTAAAATAATACACAATAATATGGAATATATCACAAAAATACAAGTAACGTAATATTATCATTATGCATTAGGTACATAACAAATCAGGAAAGCTTACTCTGTGAACAGGCTAAGTTCACGGTAACTATATGCGTCTTGTAGATACAACACAATAAATTATAATATTCTATGTACGACTTATAAGAATTTGTTAACCTTTATATTTTAAATACTCCAGTCCCCTCAGCTCCCCTCTAAAGTCTAAAGGATTGTCAAAACCTTAGAAGTGTGCCGCGACAAATCAGTAAACAGCGTATAATATCGCATTTATAATATATTTTGTATATTTTAACTCACTGCCGGGACCACATTCCGTTTGTGGTAAACGTGCGGTCCGTCGTGTACGCTGATGAACACTTTATATTTTCGCACGGGTAGAACGGACTTGGTGGGTGGCTTCCACGACAACACACACTGCTGGTACTCCTTATTGGTCCATTTTAACGACGACACCATTAAGTCCTGTGGCGGTCCAGGTGGATCGACGTCTGTAGCGAAACAAATTCAATGTATTATAATATATATATATAACATTATACACGAGAATAACGACACACACATATCAGTACATTACAACAATACGATTAGGTAACATTGGTAACCATATAGGTATAATAATATAGTTGAACACAGTAGCGGCGCGAAGGGTAGGCACGGGCGGACCCCATTGCCTTCTCTGAAAATATCTGGCCTATCCACTGACCCGCAATGAAACTTTATGAAAATTAAATATTTTAAAATGTGCATCCTAGTTATTATTAAATATTCTTCATTGTCTTTTATTAGTATAGAAACGGAGAGAAAGTATAAATGCATAATATGGAAACACAATAAGTAATATTTTCAATGATCTACGTAGACACGTAGTAAATTATATGATTGTTATTCTTGTTTTTTACGAGCATAAAAATAGAAAGATAACATTAAAATAAATTAAATATATAATGTCAGTTATTCTATTCGAGTTAACCATGTTCAAGCGTATAATTTAAACTGAACAATATTGAACATCATATGTAATTATTTCAATATTATTTTATTTTAATATGTCGATAATTAAAAATATGTTGATATTAAAAAAAAATATATATATATATTAAATTAAATATAACTTTCATGATATATTATTATTTTGATTCATACGTAATATTTAATTATGTATGTTATGATTAAAATATGATATTGTGGATTAATTGGATGGTATAAAATATAAATAGAAGGCATTAATATAGTTTGGATTTTATTTTACAGAAGAAGTCTTAAGGTAATGATAATTTATTTTAAAATTTTTTGTATGAATGAAATTATGTATTATTGATTATTCAAGCAAAAATTTTGTCGTGGTCTAGATCCCATAGATTCCTTCTCTGGATAAGATTTCAGCAGGAAATTTGAAGCAAAGATTTTATACCTTATTTAAAGTATATATTTATATATTAGTTCTGCAGTAAAATAATGTGCCTCGAATAGACCCTAAGGTATAAAATCCTGGCGCCGCAACTGGTCGAACACGTATAATAAATTCTAGGAAATAGCATAGTTTTATTATAATATTATGTCTGTTTTGTTGTCTTGCGAGTTATGACCTGAAAAACGTTACAGCTTTTTAATAATATATATATATATATTTTTTAATATCGTTCTAAAAATAAATTTTTATGTGTTTTTCTTTATAATAATATTATTTTATTTAAAGTTATTTAATATGGACAACCAAGTAATAAAACTTATTGGTATTATACGATTTTCAATAATATTTATTAATATATTTATATTTTAGATTGGATGTAATACTTTTTTTCTGAGTCAAAGTTGTCATATCAACCAAAAAATAATAGTTTTATTGTGATATAAAAGTGTCTATTTTACTTATTACCTAGATTATAAAGAATTCTGTGCTGCAACGCATATACCGATTAGGACAATAAATAGCTTATGAAATGAAAACTTGATTTAATATATTGCATGTCGGTATTACTCAGATTTATTGTTGTTTGTTACTTGATCACAATTACGTTTTATAAAAGTCCTAATATTGTTATAGAACTTTGATCCAAAATTAACTATTGATATTTGAAATGCAAGAAAATTTATTTTTTAACAAACTAATTAATTAGTAATACATTTACCAATGTAAAATATATGTAATGAAATATTTTCGGAAATCATTAAATCAACCTACCGTAGTTCAAACACTAATAGTAAAATAGATTACTATATAGATAGCAATATAAAAAAATATATACTTAGTGTGTAGACTTGTCTTTACTTAAAACTATTTTTTATGTACAAAGATAGGTATATAATTGAATTCAAATTTAATAAATTCATGATTATATTAACCAACTTGAATTTTACTATACAGCAGGGATCGTCAATTAATATTTTTGAAAAACCACATTAGGAATCTGAAAATTGTTCATGGGCCATCAAAATTTTAAGTACATATTTTTAACATATAATAGGTGTTATTTTAAAATTGGATGTAATGAGAACATTATTTTTTTATTTATTATTTGCTATTCTTTATAAATATTAAGAAAAAAAAATAATTTATATTACAAATATTTAAAAAAAATAATTATAAATATAATACAAATAGAAAATACATAATATTTATTCTTTGTCTGCAGGCAGGATAAAATTTGTTCGCGAGTCGCTATTTAGAGATTCCTGCTGTACAGTATATAGTTGTTCACATTAACCCCTTCCATATTTTTTAAATAATGTATCATTTATTTGTATGAATTAATATCTTAATATGAAACAATTTTTATTAAGCAAATAATATAATTTCGCTGTCAGTCTTATAAGCCTGTAAAATTAGAAGGATAGTTATCAATATTATTGATTTATTGAAGTGTTATTATCAACACTTAAATTTCATGGAACCCAATCGCGTTGCGTTTTTTTTTTTTTGTGGATAAAAAGATAATATGAAGTAGGAAGTAATCATCCGAGTCAGAATAGGACACATAAATCTAACCCACTCTTTCCTCATTATTAAAGAACCGTCTCCTATATGAAACACATGCTAGAAAAACCTTACAACCAATTAAATAGTCACTAAGTTCTTAAAATATATCAAAGCATGAAGAATCTTTACTAGCCCAGCCTCCGTGTAAGAGTAACTTCGCGAAGAAAACACGAAAATGATATGTTTATTGTTTCACATTATTGACCCAAGTCAAAAATTGTTAATAATGTTATTTCAAATTATTTATAACCTATATATCTAATCTACGAGTAAGCTATTAATCATCATTGTTGAGGCCTTAACTGATAATTTAAAAAAAAATCTAATGAATCGATAATAAAATATTAGTATATATTTTAAAACGTTGCGGCGTTTAATCTATAATATTTTTTTCACGTGTAATATGTCATTTTAAAATTTATATCGAATAATATAGGTACATTACGTGGGACTTGAGTATTATATTTTTTAAGCATAAAGGATATAATTTGTTGATGTATCACATAGATATAAACGAAAAAAAAACAAAATATATTAAGTCTAATTTTGCAACTCAGAATGATAATAATTGACAACATATAAATATATTATTTCAGTACACGTGCATCGTGAAATTATGTTGATATAAGCATGTGAGTGTTGCACGTGTAAATGAAAAAACTGCGCGTTTTTTTCTTGGTTTTTTTTTAGAAGGCGCACGTGTTTTCAATTAATTTATATATAATAATAGTGTTATATACAATATTTTGTGGTTACAACAGGCATTACAATCATTAGATATATTTGATTCGATATAATAATCATTGTATAAGAACCATGATACAAAATGATGATGTTCGAATTTCGCGTTAAATATTTATGATCAGATAGACATTCTGTCTATACGTAACAAAAAAATAAATATGTTAAGAGATTGTAAACATCTATTAAAACATTAAAAATAATGTTATTTATTAAGCTACGAATAATAAATTGCAAAAAAAAAATAAAATTTTATTTTTATCTTGATAGTATATTTAATATTATTTCAGTATTATCTACATGTAGATAATTTAAGAATTTAAATATCTTATTTAGACCTACCTATTTATAAATATAAAAAAAAAGCTTTCTGAGCCCAACACTATAATATAATAATATTATATATGTGGACATAGCTGCAATTGCACTTACTCGGTCCGATATCGACAAAAAACTGCTCGGAAGGCGGTGAGTAACCGCTGGTACCGTTCTCGTTGATGGCGGCTACGCGGAACTGGAACCATCGTCCTGGTAAGTGCAGCTGCCTGAACTGTTCCCGTGTCCTGTCGGTCCTGGCCACTATTGCCCATGTGGTCATACGCTCCGGTACATACTCGACGCCCACGTGGTGTCGTTCCTGGACCAAATACGTAACGTGACCTATGGATGTGTCCATAGACGGCGCAGACCATTCGACCGCCAGCGCCTTACCGTAATCCGACACTGCGACGATTTTTGGCACGTTTGGTAAACCTGTAAGCCATGTAAATAGCACGTGATTATGAAAGTACTACAGGTATACACTATAGTAGCCTCTTAAAATATACGGATTACTTACCATTTTTACCGTAAATAAAAAAGTTATTTTAAACTAGCTGCCTCCAACGATCATGCAGATAGTACATAATTATACTCTCTCAAAAATAATCACACTATAGTTGCGTCCAATACGGAATTAAGTAATGGTTCATATACTTCACTAAAATATACCGCGTAAAAAGAATTTTATGTATAAATACTTAAAAAATATTCTGCATTAAAATATGGAATTAAAAATGTATATTGTCATTCAATATTTTTGGATTAAAAATGTAAGAAACTTAAAAAAAATCTTAAATTTTTATCATGATAATTAATAATAATTTATAAACATCAACCATTACAATGTTTAACACATGGATGATCTGCTCTCCCTTTCAAAAGTGTGATATTTTTGATAGGATTCAATGATACATTTATTATTTGCTTATTAAGAGGTAGTTTTTTTTTTTTTTTTTAATAAAATTTAAAGTACCTACGCCGAGAGGCAATCTGGATAAAAATGGATTAAATTTTCAGACTTGAGAGGGAGACAGCATAGTATGCGCAATTTGATTGCAAGTTTCATATATAATAATATATTATAATTATATCAATATATTTTAGCATCTGCAAAAGCAATGGAGTTTAATAATGAATTGATTAATAATACTTCATTATTACCTGTATAATTTAAATATACAGTTATTATTATGCACACTATTATCCTTTGGCGGGGTCATTACTAAACACAACTTTAACGAGCAGATACTTCTAAAATTACCATTTTACTGCACTTTTCTATACTTAAATTGCCTGTTCAATTTTTGATGTAAATACGTTCAAATAATTAGAAAAATTCTCTACTCTTGATTATAAAATAAAAAATTATATTTGACAAATTCAATTTTTTTGTAAAATATCTAGTGTCATATACAGTTATCAATAAGTATATTAAAAAAAATAAATATTTTTTTCTAAAATATTAAAATTGACTCATGGTATTAAATTAGTGTAGTCATTTAAATGGATCACTTAGTATATAAACGTTGATTTGTAGTAAATTTGTGAAAAATGCAAAAATAAAAATATTTTTCACCCATAAATTTACTCTAAAATTAAATATATTTCTCTAATAGACGGAGACCGGTGCCCATTAGATCCTATAATATATGACTTATAGGAACCAGTCCTTTAAAATAAGTACTAAAACATTGTAGTAAATCATTGTTAAATTTCTTGTGCAATACATCCAAAAATCATATTTATCACCGTACCGAAATACGTTTGTAAGTTATTATGTACCTAATAATGTCATAGGAGTGACCGGTTTCTTTTAATTTTCGATGCACTCATTGACTCATACGACACATTAATTCGAATGTATAGGTAGATTATACATATTGTACGAAATGCAAATATATCAAGACTGAAATCACCATGTCTGTAACAAGCCCATAAAAATAGAAAACGAATAACCGTATTGGTGCCAAAAACGATATAATATTTTACGATAAATTGTACAGCATATTATTATACCATATACAGAGTGCTTCACATTTTTCTATACATAGCTAGCACAAAATAAAACGTAGTTGCTTTTCTTGTAAATAATGATAACAGTAAAAATGAGAATAACAATAATACAGTTGACTATTACTTATTAGGAACTCAAAATGTATTGTGGAGAAGGGGAATCTTGTTACTAAGAATTTCGATGTATCAAAATAATATTGTTCAGCCTATAATATGAGGTTTCTATTATATTTTAATTTTTAAACAATTTATAAGTATGTAAAATACTAAAAACGTATAATTTAAAAGGGCTAAGTAAATTGAGTTTGCAATAATTTGTATACATTTTTAAATAAAGAAATTGAGTCCCGTTTCCTGCTTTCAATTATTATATATACTACTATTTTTATGATATTATTAATTAGAAAATATAAGAAGCTAATCTTAATTAGTTAATTTAATTTTGATCTAATTGTATGATAATAAAAAATTAATCTTTTAAATAATAATTTATACAATGTATATCATAATTATAAAATATACTTATCATTAATTTTATTTCCAATAAAGATTTCATAGTTTGTTTTTTCCAGAATCTCACTAACCAAAATAAGCTCATCTGGGACCCAAGTTTACCAATCTCATATTTAGAAATTCTCATGACTTTTTTTAAAATTGAAATATCTTAAAAACTCCATTTAAAAACAGATAATATTTATGTCTTCAATAAATTTGATAATTTATAGTCAATCAATTCACTGTTTTATTAAAGCTTATCACAGAAAATCGGAAGTGCTGAACGAAAATTTACCATGTCGTACGTTCGTAAGACCAAGACGACACGTGCGAGTGTGGTTTCCTCTCAATATTGTTAGTTTTCTTATTGACCCGTAATAACACATTTAACACTCAACACTATCACGCGGTACACGGATAAAATATTAAACGAACAAACCACAGAAGGAAAATAATTAAGACTACAGAACTTTACAGTAAAGACCATTTATGACCAACTATAATATTATGTGGCTATAAAAATTCAAAATATCGGAAACTTGGCCGATTAATTTTTGAATCAACTTGGTTTTATATTTTAAACATTATCATACCATATAGTGTTATGGTGATATTGTTTTAAAGGGAATTTTATTTAATCGAGGTATCGAGGATTTCGAGTCATCAAGGTTCGGGCTACCGAGAATCGAATGCACAGTATTATTTTAATAACGTATGGCGTATCATAAACATATAATAATATAGGTAGGTATAACGTACCCGGTCGGTGGTCAGCTAAGCCGACGGGTGGCTGGCATGTTATTCCGCAACTGTGCCGGCAGCACTTGTACTCGGCATGACAAAAGTCGTCGGAACTGCATTGCTCCAAACACGGTCGGTCCAGCGAGGCGACGCTGTCAAGGTCGCCGACCGGACACTTGCCCGGCTTATTAATCCATCGTTTGTTCAGACAGCCGCTATAACACTGCGGACAAAATCAAAACAAAACAATAAAAACAAAATGTTTTAAGCCGGGATTGTTAATAGATACCATGCGTATCTATTGCGACACTCGTCAAGTATTATATGTTATTTATTATATTATTATTATTAGGTAAAAGTAAGGATGTGTGAATTACATATAAATATACGGGACACGGTGCAGTGTCAGCGATATATTATACTTTAAAATGTAATATCATATATATATTATATATACAGGATGGACCATAACACTCCTTGAAGTTTATATATATATATATTACAACTTTAATGAAACACACTTCTTCTGACTTAAAATTTAAAAAAAAATGAATTCTTTGTGCAGTGTCCAGAGTCTTGAAAAAAAATTGGACGATATAATTTTATACTTTGATTTATACGATTTTTTTACTACAAATTATCAATTTATCACAATAATATGGTGTACGTACAAATTGATACGAACTTATGAAGATGACGGCTCGTTGACGGAGATATTTTTAAAATTATATACAAGTATTAAATAGTAGGACGGTAGTAATTAAGTCATATAATGATTGTATTTATCTATTTTTGTTGATTACGTTTATAGCATATAAAAAATAAATAATAAAAATAGAATATATTTATCAGTTTTGTTATCAAACATTATGTATGTTTAACCACTGAATTGACTAGCTGTTAGAGCAGAGGATGTGAACTCCCCGCAATGGAGATGTAAGGGGATCTGGAACCTATAAACTCGTAGGTCATAGAGTACGGGGATGTCATAGTAATTTGCATCTACAGTGGAGTCAGCTTAATCCTTTGTTATTATTAGTTATGCGTATGTATAAATGGTTTTTTTAATTACAAATTGTTTTCAACTTTTGATGAACAAAATTCTTATTTTTCTAAAAAAATATATATATTTATCACGATTATTGGGAGTTTTGAGTTGTGATCATAATAAAAATATTTTTTGTAACTATATATTAAGTTATATTAAAAAATGCTGGCAACCTCCGCAAAAACAGTATATGGCCGCTCATAGATGGGGTTTTTTTTAGCAGAACGTAGATAATTGCACCCTATTCGGTGTTATTTATTCAGACAGACAAAACAAAAACTGCAGAAAACAGAATATTAGGCGCTAATTAAAAATTATAGCTCATGGATGTACCTATTAAATACTAGTGTAATTTTGTTCTATCGTAATCGTATTATTTTATTCTATCGTTATATTATATTTGCATTCCTATTTTTTAAATATGAAATTTCTGGAACACCCGTAGTAGCGTGTTTTCCACATATACCAATCCAATGTCCATATAGTCACTCTGTATATATATATACGCGTCTTTACGGTGCATACATTAACACATACCACCTATATATACACACATATATAGGTACAATATACATATTTTAATGGATACGGCGGACGATGTAAAAACGACTCAGGGGCGTCAACGGCTAATAATGCAGTTTTGGCGAAGCCCGTCCCGTTTTTTTTTTTTTTATAACTTCGTCGTTATAATCGCGAAGACTATTAACTATATATTTTATACAATACCTATATATATTTATCATTATTTATTCTTATACACTTTAATACACCAGACGCATATTTTACATGCCACCACGATTTTTTTTTTCGTTGTTATTTCTACATTTTTCCCCGTCGATATAATAACACACGACAACACTATAAAGTGTTCGTAAACAAAAAATATTAATACATATAATGCCAAGTGCATAGACTAAAATTTACAATCAATCAATTTTATTTACTAGAATATTAGACACAAAAAAATTATGAAAAACATAACCACCGTAGAAGTGTGTATACCTTGTACCTATATATGATATACGTGTTGTGCTGAGCATTATTATTTATTATCCATGGGTACTATTATACCTACTTATACATATTACAAAGTAATATAACAAAATGATTTGTCAGGCGTGGTAACCAATCCTCTTTTTTTTCTTCAATAACGCAGTTATTCAAAATATAAATTTTGGATTTTTATACATACTTAAAGACGCCATAATTTACAAGTTTTATTTTTTGTTTTTATATTGCTTAAAGGGTGCCCTTTGGAGAATCCCTCATCTTCTTAAATAGAAATTATTTAGTCAATAGACCATAATTTATCCGAAAATGTAAAGTATTAAAATCAAAATTTGAACGAGTAATTTTTGAGTAATTTAACTTGGTTTACAAAGGTTAATAGATCATTTTCTCCTTTTTTCTTTAAGTTATCACAATTTAAGTAAGAACCATGATAATATTACTTAACCACAGTACTTTGGAATAATTATTTTTTGATAATAGATTTAAATGATATTTGAGCTATGGAAATTTAAAATTTTTTAATAATCTATTAATATTTATAATTTATAGAAATAATTCGATTATATTAAATACAAGATTCGACATTACATTTGTTTTAAATTTTTATGAAACTATTTTTGAGAAATTTTATTCATGATACAAACATTTTAATAATTGAAACATATAAAATTTTTTTTTTTTAAAACTATCCACTAAATAATTCATAGTAAAAAAGGGGGTTCTCATTTAAAAATAAGAAGTTTAAATTTTTATAGGTCACTCTTCAAGTGTATTTAAAAAATTCAATAAATTCATTATCAAATGAAAAACTGGGGGTGAACTTGTTTAGTCAAAAACAAAATGAATATTCTTATATAGTTACATACATCAACAACGACAAATGCATTAATGCTGACACAACATATTTATATATATTAATAAACTGGATAATTTTTTTTATCATTATTATGAGCCAGCAATTTTGCTAAAGATTTTAATAGTAAATTGATTTTTGGCTTTTTTCAACCTACATTATGATTTTATATCTATATAATATGCACATTAAATCATTCAGGATTTTTGATTACTCGTCAAGGTTTTTATTTTTTGTAATTGTGATTTTTTTTTAAATGGCAACCTACGATTTTATATTGACGTTCTGAATTCCTATTTATAATAATACCAATAATTTAAATATAATATAATATTTTAAACATAATTCAATATTTTATTTTTAATACCATACAAGTTAATTTTAATTAAAATTCTGTTAAAAATATCGATATAAATAAATAAAAATATTTATGTAACTTTATATAATAATTAAAATATAGGTACCTAAAAGTATTCATTAAAAAATTTAAACTAGGTACAAAAAAGAAATTAATTCCCTAATCTATATTTCAATTATTCAATGATATTAAACAATATCTCTCTGATAAAAGTTTGTTAACTTTAATTTTTAAGCGAAGATAGTATGTTATTACTTAATGATAACTGTTTATAAAATAAATAAAATCTAACAATGAAAAATATTAAATGATTATCAACCATAATTATCACATAAATTTATTTTATTTTTATTCTCGCTATATTTTATTGATGATATTATCATAGATACTGAAAAATTACTGTTATTATACTTTTATATAAATTCTAAATATAATCCTTTAAACTCCAATTGAATCTCAATCACAGTATTTCCATTCTAAAAAATGAACCATATTATTTTAATTTTTAATTTTTTAATGACAAATTGTATTTAGTATGTACCTATTCGTATTTTTAAATTGTTGTGACCATTATCTGTCAACATAAACTTACATAAATAAAGTTAAAAAATAAGCAATCATATAAAAAATGGCAACAACAGCTTTGTTATTCTCTACAACTAATACGAATCTAAATATTTACAATTTAAAAATAACATCATAATTTAAAATAGACAATAGTTTGGTATAAACAATGATTTATCAATGGCTAATAAAAACAACTAATCTGAATATTTTAGATAGAGAAATTATAACTGCTTCTTAATACCTAATAAATAAATACTTCGAAAATATAAACACAAAACAAGCAATACAAAGTCTATGGAATATACTTTTTATTTTACAAACACGAATCAGTGTTATTTTTAATCTAAAAAATATTTAAAAATAATTTAATTTGATTTTAGAAATTGTATTTTACAAAATATAAGCTTTTTTCCTTAAATGATTAGGTTAACTTTAAAACTAAGAAAAATAAGTCATTAATTTATTTAGTATATAAATAACAAATATATTTTAAGCTACATAATAATTTTTGTAGTTCATACATGAATAAATTAATAAATAAATTATTTTATCAATAATTTACAACTAAATTGATTGATTAAATATTCGATAAATATATAGGAAAATGGTTAATCACTCATCATAAACTTTCATAGATCATTATAATATACTGAACATAATTTAAATTATGTTTACACAATAAATCATTATATTTATACTTAGAACTAAAATTTATACAATGCCACAAAACAATCTACAACAGTTATTTATAACTGGATTACACACCCTATTGTAATAAACTTTATTTTACATTTTAAATTATTGCACTTCATTTCACAACATTTATGTAATACGTGATTATTGCATCTATTTGTCTCGTATATTAAGTATAACGTGTTTTAATACTGGGCAAGTTAACTAATTTTTATTTTTTTAACTTTCAATTATTTTAACATAAAGTTGAATTAATATTAAAAAACATGAATTAAGTTTAAAATCAAAAGGTACTTATTTTCAGCTTGTAAAAGTTACTTAGTTAAAAATCAGTAACAATAGCAAAGTAATATTTCACCTAATAGTCAATACAACTCTTAACTAAGAAATAGTCAAACATTTTAATATTTTTAAAATAATAATAATTAAATTTATTATATTTAAAATATAATTAGTTGAACATATACTATTAAATATTAATCATTTCGTTTCAAGAATAAAATAATTAATTACTCTATCAAATTATTTTACTGTATTAGTTAACAGTAATAAATCATTTCAACAATTAATAAAATAATATAACCATTAAACTATTTTGCATCTCTACTTTAATTATCGTCGGAATACTCATAATACCGTGATTATTTTTCTAACATCGAATTTACTTTTAATATAAACATATAAATATTTTTT